TTAAAGCTTCGCAACGATGATTTCAGGGTACTTGTCCTCTACGTGCTGAATTATCTCACTTTGATTGTGGCCCTATTCGACAAGATGGATGCGATCCGGAAAAAAGACCCATCGCTGGAGTTTAACGGTGAACGGGAGAAACGCCAACTCGGAGGACGTAATCCGGTTGGTTTATCCCCGTCTCGAAAGGTATAACTTACAGTACCGTGTGTTAATGAACCTTTCCAGAACATTCCTCGACCTCCACCGTATGCTAGTCGTACGTTTGAAAATCGAACGGATTTGTTGCGATTTATTGAACGAAGTACAAGACGCTTTGATCAGAATCGTACAACACGCTCTGCACCAACAACACCGTTTACCGTACGTTTGTCGATCAATATCGTGACGGTAGTCAATAGGGGTTTTATCGATCTGTGCACGATTTTATTTGTTGCGCATTCTTCCTCGCTTTATTGCTGTTGTCGTTTTCGTATTTCTGTTGCTCTCGCTGGTAACCTGCCCTGTGCAACCTTGAAGAGATGCACGATTATCGATTTCTTGTTTTTTTGTCGGCTTGGATGTACGAAGCCCGTGTTTCAGGTGGCTCCTCAATTTGGCCGTCAACAGTGAACAACCCAAATGTTATAATGCGAAACGGCACGTTGAGCAAAATTTTTGAAGCGAAACGAATCGGACCTGCACCGTTACCGATCTACACTCCACCGCCTCGTACTCATCCGCCGCATGAACCTGGAAAAGTGAAAGAGGTGCGTTATGGACCAGTAAGTATCAGTAGTATGGCCTCACCGTAATCTATATGAATCCTGCCCCTAACAAAGTGAGAATAGTGCTACGAGAATGCAAAGGGCTGTGTGTCCGTGCTTGTCACGGGGTTTTTGCAGATGAATTTTTTGGCTGACTTATCACAGCTATCACTCGTTGACGCTTGTCCTATCACTTGTTACCCGCTGATGTGAGGTGCACGAGTAGGTACTGTATCTCAGAGTGTGACGATACTGTAATTTTGAGGGCGTGGCAATAACTGGTACGTATCGTCAAGTGAAGAGAAGTACTCAGTCATCCGACTTTTACAACGACGGACAGGGGCTTTCTGAAGAAGTATCAAAAGTTTTAGAGTTAGTTATGGATTGCTCCCTTGTCCGGAAACCAACTTATGATTATCGATCGGCAAATTGATCGATTGCGTAATTGCTCGATATACACTGTTGTTTTCTATCTCATGGTTCATTGAGCACGCCGACAGCTGTTGAATGTCGGAAACGCCGTCGACGAATTCCTTAACATTGCGGTTGCACACGAGTGGGTGTTCTAGTGGACTGGTAGAAAATCAATAAAGCTTTGCGAAAGCGCTAAATTATGCTCTTTGGACCTAATGACCACAATGTTGTTAATCGAACGGCATACATTTTTGGTGATGCTCCACCTTGGGCCATACACTCGGTTTCTATTATATTTGAGTAGGACCTTATCAACACGACGACTTCGAGGGCCCACCCAATGTCCAACCAGTGGCCCCTACCCCAAATGATCTGAGTGCTGTTTGCTGGGGCGTTTCGAAGGGGAGGGGAGGGAGGGTTCGGTCCGCCAGCGTGATCTTCACCAATTGTGGAAGCTGCCAGGGGACCACATATAAAGGAAAACCAGGCGAACGCCACGCCCAGACCTAGCCCAGACAAGGGAAGTGTGGCCCATATAGGATTTGGTGTGTGGAAAAGGCAGGTGGCGCCAATATCCAAGTGACGGTCCTTCGACGAAAATTTTGAGGTACTGCACTAGGGCATCAGGGCAACATCGTTGCTTCGGGAATCCCCAACGGGGGCGGATCGACCAGGAGAGAAACTGCGTATTTGGCTGAGGAAAAACCTATTTTAATTAGTTTGATTTCCCTCGGGCTCACGGACCGTCAGTGAAGAGAGCGGGGAGGGGTGCGTACTTGCTCATTGCCAGGGAATGAGGCGGGGTGGATCGTATTTACTTTTCGGCCCTTCTAGGAGTGGTGGTTGAAGGAGGGGGGGGGTTGATTGGCGAAAAAGTGGAGAAGTTGGGGGAAAATCTAGGATTGATTGGTAGATAAGGGGGAGGGGTTGTATTGTCTCGCGCGGCTTTATCCTTGTCTCATATGATGCTATTAGAACCTCCCAGCCCCCCGCTCGACAGCTCTACGAGGAGGACATGAGGGCCGACAGGGACGTGGTGCATAACCCCCCCCCCCCCAGCAACGAACAAAATAGGGGGGGGCGTCGTACGGATTGGACTAATCTCCAACAATTGATGCACCTTGCGGTGCATCATATGTAGCTCGCCTGACTAAACTTCTTTAGGTCGCACTGCCAGCGCCTGAAAATGCGCATCCATTTTGCGCTTGGGCTGTTTCCAACAAAGTCTGGCATATACTACTGAGTTTCCAGGGTGGTTGTCCAAATCGTGCTATTGGGCTTTCGACAGACGTGTGCACGTGCACACGTGAAAAACGACTCATGAGAAGAAGCCACCACCTTGTCGTGAATTGACCAGTTCACGTTTATTGATTGGCCGTTAGGTATTTACAATCTCGTTCTGCTAAAGACGCTGGGATTCTAAAGATGGATTGGGCCGCGCGCCAGCCGGTTTTCTATCAACTATGACTCACCGAGACTGTAAACATTTAAGCACGAGAAGTACGAACATTTCATCAAATTTCCTCCACAGTGTAACTTATTACGTAAAGCATTCAGATGCGAAATATTTGATTACTTCAACAACTTTACAACTCCAACAATTTCAGAGGTACGGTGGTCCGGATTTTCATCCAACACGTAACAATCCAAAGGTGACGACAACACCACGACCTCGCATAACTCGTCCACCGCCGACACGAAAACTTCTTCTCACAGAGGCGCCAACGTCGACGGAACAACCGGATGTAAGAAATTTTATCGGGAGTCATTTTTTATTTTATGATAATTGGCATTTTCAGTCCGATGATCCAGACGACGATCCTGTACTGATTATGAACGAAAATCTTTCTGGAGAGAACCCTGCTGTAAGCGAAGAAGAGTTCATGCATAACGGTAATTTCATATGATATCTGCATCTTAGAATAAATTTAGCCATGAGTAATTCTTAATTTGAGACTAAAAGTGAGGAATTTTTCATTAACACGGCCAATGGCAGTCTGTTCAATCTATAGATTTTCATTCGCTCAAATTGTTTTTGAATGTGCACGTTCCGCAGTGATCGAAGGCGGCCAGTAGACCACTATAGTTCCCTCTTTTCCGACCACAAAAGGAATCACGTTCTACAGTGGTCGAATGGGCGGGGACAGTTAATTAGTGCTCTTCGCCGTCTAAGAAATTAGGGGCTCATCATGAGGAGTGCGCTAGGCCCAGATTCGCCTAGACCCCCACGTTGGAATTTAAGGATGCTTTTAGCAGTGACTCAAATTTTTTTTATTTTCCGAATGTGTTTTTAATTCTTTCTGCCCAGAAAAATCTTTCGTGTAGGGTATACATGTTTTACATAATATTTTAAAAGAACTACGCGAACTGCATAACAGCGCAGAGTTTCCGAGCCCCAACGAATTTCTTCTACCCAGAACCTCTCAATACCTACTCCTACTTTCTTCTTCCTTTCATATATCCCTTAAACATAGATAAAGCTGTTGAAGAACTCCCTTGTAAGCTAACTAATGTTCTTTGCAGCTACATACTACGGTATTCCTTTTTTTAACAAGTTACACAGCTAAACGATTGCTTTCCACGGCTCTGTTAAACGCTCTCTACAAGCTCTCTACAAAAAAATTGGCGCCATCGAGTTTTTTGGGTAATCGTTCTAGGACGGACGACTCTCGAATATGTCATAGTGATGAATATGTTGTAAATGCGAGAGTGAAGGGTAGAAAGTCGGAACCCCGAACTGGGTTCTGGCCTCTGGGCCTTGACCTTTAGTTCCCGTCTATTCCACCGACGGCTATGCGACAGTAGGTTCCTAGTCTTGCGGCAAATACAGTCTTGTTCGCTAAAGGACAATGAGGCGTTTTAGAGAAAGGGCACAGGGTGGCGCGGCTCCAGCCTGCTCTCCACCGATGCTGGATGTTGGAAGGTGTCCATAATTGGTGTAGAACAGCCTGGCGCTTGGCTAGACCCAGCCCCTCGGCACGCCCCAGTATCCGTAGCGATCAAGACGATATGTTTGAATTCGAGCGCGCACCCTTGCAATTGCCAATCTGGTCTCTTTTCGTTGAGTAGGTTACTGCAAGATTTCAGTCCGATTCTCGCTGGCAGGACTTTAACTGCCGTAACCAAAACATTCCTGCCGAAGTTTTTCTGCTGTACGACTAGGGAACCCCTCTATGGTACAAATGTAAAGAAATCTAAATCAAGCGTTAAATAGACCCACTGAAATCACTACGAGCTTGCGCCTGATAGGAAAGGTACGGTATTTGCAGTTTTCCGCGCGCTGCGCCTTACGGTTCTCAAGCCTGTCTATCCTACTGAACTCTCAGCGCCTGTTACTATAAGAGCATTGTCGTCATTTCTGTCTATTATTGACATATTGTCTAATACTTGTTCTCTACTGTCCGTTGCAGGTTTTTTTCTACGCTTATTTCCTGAATTTTTTATGTATCAAACATAAGAGCGTGTTTACACTTCGCGACGACGATTGAATCGCGCGATGGATCGCGAAGTATGATCGCGCTCTAAATGCAGTCCATCTCGAAAAGCGAAAAGGGGAGTCCCCTTAACGAGACCGGCGTTTCCCTTGCCGGTTCTACTCTACTGTGTTCATGTCCCTGCCACTCTTCCGCCTGGACTGTCGCAGCTGCGGCTGCGCTCGCAGCTGTATGCCACAGAAATGACTCTTTTTGCCGTCAAGATATGCGCGCTACCTCATTCTAACCGTCTACTATGCAAATAGAAAATACTGAGCTGTTTTGATGGTTAAAGGTACCAGTTATATTTGAAAGGCATGGAAGACTAGTTATCTTTTATTTACTTTGTACCAAGCCGCAGTTTTTTAATTCTTGGATTTTATACGCCATTAAGGGAATGTGGTCCACTTAATTTTTTTGTAAAACCCTAGAGTACCATTCAGTACTCAACGAACGACAACATTCTGGTGTCATCCTCATAATTCAGAAACAATGCGATTGCCAGCAGCCGCAGAGCGAAAAAGCTCAGCCGACGAGGTTTACAACAGCGACATTTGCTGGGAAACAATAATTGGACAGGTGGCACATTTTTCTACCAATTTACCTGTTTGGACAGATTACTTTGGATTTAATAGTGGTAATAAGTCAATATAAAATATCGATTCTAGGAAATCGTCAAACTTGTCACTATGGATTTGATTGTGACAATCGTATCAATTCTGGTCATCGACTTCCTTCGTGGTCTTTGGATCAAATACTGTTCGGCGTGGTGGTGCTGGGACATCGAAACAACTTTTGTAAGTGATCCCAAAAAACCCTAATATTACTTGTTAATGTGTACTGTTTGTAGCACTTCTGTTACTCTATTATTTCATCTTTACGACGTTAATTACTTTATCGGGGGCCCTCCGACTGTTTCGCCCGGCTTGTTTTGGGGGGAGGGGGGTAAAGAGACAGCGTTCCCACCAGCGACGCCACTAATTACGTAACGAATTACTGCATTATTTCAATGGAACTAAGTGTCTAAGTGTTTGGAACTGCCCCCTCTATCTGGGATTTTCTTGAAAAAATAGCGACAACAAAAGACAAAAGTCTCTAACCCAAGCCGTAGTGTTGCAGTTACGCCATGCGTTCGAGTAACTCGCTGATTAGCGCGTGTTC